TTTTTTTTTTTTTTTTTTTTTTTTGACAGATTGTAATATTTAATATTTAATCAACATTCTGTCTAATTTGCATTTACCTCGTAAAAATACAAAATTGCGTGAGTACCCACAGTCTGGTAATTACCAATGAAAAAAAATTTGCAAAAATTTATTTATTTTCTAGAACGGTTTACTCCTTAAAAGTGGATGACTCGATTTATCGATAATCCATTTGATCTAAAATTCGTGAAATTCAACGTTACTACTGAATAAAATTTCCAACAGGGATCGACGAGCTTGTGACAAAAATATCCATGCAGAAACGAAATACACGTACGAGCCATTTATTTTGAAAATGGCCACAAGCCACTTTACAGAAATGAAAAATGACGAATTCGTTAACGTCGGTGCCAAATTATTTTACACAGCGGGACAGCCGATATCTTCTCGAAAGTTGGCATCAATTTTTCTAGGCAAAGTGTCTCGATTTAAAAACAAAGTGACCTATGTCACTTTTAAAACAAACGGCTACCTATCAGAGAGTGGCATTACACGTAACTGGAGTCATTATACTGGAAATTATGTTCAACTCTCGCAGCGTTTGCGAGATACGCTCAACAATTTTACTATTCATAAGAATATATGACTGTGATTAATATCACGATTACCGCTATGCTGATTTTTTATGGTCATATGATGCGTAGCACACAAAACTTTATTAAAACGCCATTAATGGGACCATTATCAGGATTATGTTAGCAAAGTTTCAGATAAACCTGATCACACTGTCATGTATATAAATCGCGTGACATTTATGGCGAAGGTTGTAAAACTTTTTTTTTTTTTTTTTTGATTAAACTATAAAAATTATTTGAAATCGCGTGACGACGGATTCGTGCCGCACTCACTATACTCGTAAAACGTTTTTATAGTAAGTATTCAACAACGTTGGAATTGCTGACGAGTATTAAAAAAAAAAAAAAAAAAAAAGATAAGATAAATATTCATAAAGATGCAAGCAAAAAACACATGCAAACAGCAAAGGAGTAATTAAAAATATCATTGTGAGTTCATTCCTTCGAAAGACGTTTCGGAATCAGTGTTTCGAATAAAATGATTTTTAATGATTAATTAATTTGCCTGTGGAACAGCAGTCATTCAAAATAATATTTGAAACAATCAATGCGAGAGAATTTCTAACAAAACAATTATTATCTCAATTTATAATGCCCACTGCAAATGAATTATTTGAATATATTTGTATGCTTCACTGTCGTGTAAAGTAAATTTTCAAATAACGTTTGAACTAGCAATTCAATCTCTAATGCTTTTTATTTCCCAAATATTCTCCGCACAAAATTTTCTTTTCACATCTAAATCAATTATGATTTTTTGAAGATCGAAGCCTCTGCTCGCAACGATCTCTTAAAATTTGTTGTACGATTTGTCTCTCCTTTCACGCAAAGTTGATGAAATCATGGCAATTAGAATTTCACTCGGTTAATAAATAAAATATATTTCCATGGAAAACTGTTTGGAGCCACTGTAATAGGAATTCAGGTTCAAGCAATTGGATTCAACCAGCGAGAGTTTGCTTCATCGAATATTGACTAAAATTTAGTTCAAATGTAATTCATAGAGACGAAGCTCGGCTGCGGCTTTAACGTATTGAAAACATCATCGTAAAAAACGTAGGTCATTGCACGTTATTTTTAGCAGGGAT